AGCACCCAAATGCCATTTGTGGTGTTTACTCGATCATAAACTTGTTGCGAATTGTGTTATAAATGCAATGAATATAAATGGAATTGGGTTTAACTTCCTACTGTTCTGCACCGTCCAAGTTAATGAAGAGGCACGACGGTAAAGCCTAATTTCAATGGTTCTTTTAGGTGCAGGCCAATTTGTACACGGGACCTCGGGTTTACGTCCCATGTGTTGTCCCTCAAATCAGACCCCCAATCCTTCACCACTGATGAGGGGGAACCAGGATCAAACGCGGGACGTCCTGCCACCGCGTCTTCCTTAATAATTGAAAGGGCCATTTCCAATTCAATGGCATATAAAACAAAACGAAAATAAAACCCTACATAATAATTTGTAACGCACCCAAAAATCTAGATATGCGTATTTTGTTGTACTCTTCTACATATATTTCATTTAGGCATATATTGGGAACAAAACAAATTTGACATCACATTGATTCAGCTTTAATTTTAATTATTCATTTTCTCCTTTTCGAAATTATGGGTCGAGTTTTATCCAAAGACATGTGTTATCAAATTTAAGGGCATATTTTTTATTAATGAATTCAAACTGACAGGCCGTTTTGTCCTGTTCGTTTTCTTTCTAGGGGTAACTCGATAACACGGCATCGCTCATCATAAAATAATTTAAGAAATGTTTCCATTGATAGAATTCTATTTGTATTACTGTAAAATAAAGTCGTATTCCGTAAAATACATTTCAACTGTGATCAACTTTTCCATTTATATTAATCAGATTGATTTTGTTTAAACTAAAATGGAATTTCAAAAAGGTGTTAACATCAATCATCGTATTTTAACAATCGCAAGGAGTGTTGGTGTGTTTGTGTGTTGTTTAGTTGAATTATATCTCAACTCAAAAGAGGAGAATCCCCCAAAATTGACTTATAAATGACATAAATTACAAGACAGTCACATAAAGCATGAAAATACGCCCACGCAGAAACCGTGTCTCAACTTTCAACTGCAGCTTATCGGAATTGTTGAGCAAGTCTCATAATGGTTACTTGTGATAGGGCTCATCCTCTCATGACCCCAATGCTTCTCGCCAAATTGGAAATAAATCCTTTAAGAACTGTAGCCTCTATCGACGTCACCAGAAGTTTGACAAAATGGGACAGCTTCGGAATGGTAAGTCGCAGAACATGGACTATTATTACTACTGTTCATTTCGAAATGTTCCGGTGGAGGCCACCCGGACCCCGTGATGTTGGTCGCTTAGCACCCCCTCCCTCCCCCTAATGGTCTCTGGAACCACCGTTGTGCTTCACGCTAAATTTTAAAAGAACCGTAAGAAAACTTTATCCTTTATCGCGTTCACTGTGGTTTCAGGAAAGGGACATAACTCTTGTGCGAAAGGTCACAGGACGTTGATTGTCGACAGGGTTCGTCATCTCATGGACATGATGCTTCACACCAGAAGTGATTGTTAATAACTGTATTTTATATCGTGTCCACAAGCCAATTGTTGAAGGACCAACAGACACAATATGCCTGCACTAAAAAATGGGAGGGGGCACGGGTGGGGGTAAATGGTTCATCTTCACACCAAAATTTGAAAAATATCCAGAAAAAATGGACACTTATTACGCCACGGCCAAATATTTGGACACTGGTAAAAGTGAATTATAAATGAAAATCAAGTAACTACCAAGGTAGAGAAATCGCTAGTAATAATACAAGTGATACAAGAGACGATAATTTTCAGATTTATAAAACGACAAATACAGGCAAACCCAATAACACTGAAGAAAAGGGTAAACAAACCACAAGCAAAACAACAAATATGGCGACCCCATACATCACCGAATAACTCCAATATCATACCATTCGGGGACAATTCACTAGATGTTAATATTCTTGAAACATCAAGATATATGTGTACCTGTTCCTGTTACAAACAGTATGTGGTTATCAAATGTAGAGATTTAAGAAATGTTGGACATAATTAGAATGAATGTATTGAAACGCAAATATATAAGGAAGAAAGTGACAGTAATTCTGAGTGAAAAAAACAAAAACAGAAGAATCAGAGAGTTAGATCAACAGCAAAAACTTATAAAAACAAAACACAATACACAGACCACAGGAAGAAGAAACAGTCTGAGGAAAATGGTGACAATTTCTCAACAAAGTGATGTAACTGTTTATAATAACAAAACAGAAATATGCGAAGTCTAAATCAAGTCATACAGCTCCCACACCCCAAATAAGGACGATCAGAAAAAATATAATAAATGACTTTTATAAGCTACTAGCAGGATACCCGGCTTCGCTCGGGGGTCATAATCCCGAAACCGAAAGTGGTAGACTAACGCTACCTGGTCTATGTTACTCCGGTTTCGGAGTTATGACCCCCGAGCGAAGTCTGTCTGTTCGGGGTTGGCGGCTACACTAGGTCTGCCCCGAGTCTGAAATTTGGGGTATAGGGGTAGCTCGGACCGGGGAGTAATATAGGCCAGGTGGCGTTAGTCTACCACTTCCGGTTTCGGAGTTATGACCCCCGAGCGAAGCCGGTCTGTTCGGGGTTGGCGGCAATACTAGGTCTGCCCCGAGTCTGAAATTTAGGGTATAGGGGTAGCTCGGACCAGGGAGTAACATAGGTTAGGTGGCGTTAGTCTACCACTTCCGGTTTCGGAGTTATGACCCCCGAGCGAAGTCTGTCTGTTCGGGGTTGGCGGCTACATCTGCCCCGACTCTGAAATTTGGGGTATAGGGGAAGCTCGGACCGGGAAGTGACATAGGCCAGCTTGCGTTAGTCTACCACTTCCGGTTTCGGAGTTATGACCCCCGAGCGAAGCCGGTCTGTTCGGGGTTGGCGGCTAAAACAAGGTCTGCAGACAGACAGACAGACAGACAAACGACAGTCACAAATATATATATAGATTTATACTATTTAAATAAACTTTTTGTAAAATTATTTTTGAGGACAATAGATATAGCTTTGACAGCTTTTTCAAAATTATTTTAAGCTATCGGCTATACATTATGTTTGGTTTGCTATTGTAAGAATACGTGTATTTATTTTGCAAAAAGGTTTAGAAACAGCTCAGAGAATAATCAAAAGCTCGAAATGCGATGGAGGGATGACACGCTTCACCGGAGCCCCATTACCTTTTAACCGACGCCACTACCCGTACTAATAAACAGTTTAACATGTTCCTGTATGGTCATGACATACGTGTTAAAACATGGACACGAGATAACTATTTATCAAGACTAATGCGAAATCTGCTAATTCTCGGCAATGGTTAAAGTTAAAAATTAGTTTGTCATATCTACCTCATGGTATATCTACATGTTAGGTAAAGGATGTTAGTATGATTCCATTTTCAAGTTTTTTTTCATAATCACTATAGTTAAATGTGTTCTGAGCAAAACATCGTAAAACGTTACAATTGCCCATTTCTCGGGAGTGGCTTAAGTTTTAAACTATCTTTTGATATGTTCGCATTGCTTCCGGTGATTGGATAAGTGGAATAACAAATATTTAAATAAGTAAAGACACGTGTCCATTTGAAGTAAAATTTGCTTTAATAAACGTTGTAAAATACAATGTGTGTCAATATGATGCCATTTACGATGACCAATATAATACAACAATATTTGTATTCATTTATGGGAATAAAAAATTGAAAAGTGACTCCCCAAACATTACCCTTTTCTCTGAAATGGCAAACATCAAAAACGATTTATGGATTTTCATTTGATCTTATATCTCCGCGTTACGTAATTATGAAAGTTTACAATAAAAATATTAACAGATGAAAAATGTATATGCTGTTGAAAATGGTATATTTTAGCCTTTAAATCAAAAGTGCGGGAAACAAAATATTAAAAATCGGCTTTGACCGCCTCTGCTCATTTACAATGACTATATTGAGACAAGGTAATATTTTATATCAATAATAATATATATGCAGTAAACTGTGTCAATCGGATAAGTATTACTCAGTTTATAGGAGCCACGGTTGCTACGTGAGTAAGACGCTGGCTCGCTCGCCTGGAGGTCGCGGGTACGCTCCAAGTGTTGGCCGAGAAGGTTCATCAGGATTTTCCGGCGTTTTTTCCTCTGTCAGTGATGCAGGGGGGGGGGGGGCTGACAGGGACAGCTGATGCGAAAAATCGAGGTCCCGTGTACACATTGGCGTACACGTAAAAGATCCCTTGGCAGATGAAATTTGATATGAGTAGGCCGTAGCGCCGCTATTCGGGGAATATTTCCCTAATAGAACACTGTTTGGTGTGTGTCCGTCTTCATTAGCCCAGTCGGGGTAGAACAGTAGAAGGTTAAACCTCATTTAATTTCATTTAATCAGTTTATACGCTAAAACATGTAGCTCCATAGGGAGATAATTGCGATAAATATTATATATATATATATATATATATATATATATATATATTAAAAGAAAATTATAGAAAAGTCAAATTTCCAGAACTTTTGCTCTCAAAAACAGACCGATCCAATGAACAATTCCTACGAAATCAGAAAAAAGAAAAAAAAATATTAATCCGAACAACAACAATAGTGTTTCACACAAGCTTCACATCGTGAAACCCTAATATACGGTTTCTGATAGGGGGCATGAACAATAATTTTCATCTAATTTTTTTTTTAATACCCATGCCAATTTTAATGTTTTTGTCATTTTCATCCAAGTCGATTATAATTTTTACCCAGATGTTTTTTTTTTAATATATTAAATTGTTTTTCTTAATTTTCACTTCAGTCAATTTAGTTCTGTTTTCGATAATTTTCATGTGATCAGACATTTTCTGATTAAAAGTAATTGTAATTTAATGACCCTCTTATGCATGATGGGGGTTGGTTTCGCCTGCCTAACCTAGTGTTTTTTCTACGCAGACTCCTGTTTCCCCAACTGCTTAAAAAAATCCTGCACACGAGCGAAGTATTAAAAATAAAGAAATACCTAATGAAATTGTAAATTAACTCACCCAGTGCACGTCCTAGCCTTACCACCGCTACCATAAGTAGAAATACCGCAAGCTGCTTGTTCATGTTTGCGATAGACAGAAAGCAGGCCGCACATGAGGACCATGTGCTGCTATATGCATAGTTGATTCCCGGGGACCTTTATATAACACGAGCTCAGACTGATTTTTTTCCTGCCAATCAAACAGCTTTTGAATTTTTTACTGATTTGTGTCGTGCGCAAAAACATTATATGCAGCATAGAAAGCACATACGTCAAAATTAATGGCAACGAGATAATCTTATTCAGCGCAGTCAACAAGTAAGTTGGAGCTCTGACCCAAAAAAAACCAAAACATTTTTATAAAAGCGTTAACGAGCCATGCAAAATCACCTTGGAAAATTGGCAAGGTCACTTCATAATCTTAAATTTCAGTTCTGTTTCGTCACTTTATTGGACAAGATTATGATATTAAGGCGTAACAAAGCTGCATGAATAAACATAAATCCGGGTTGCAGTTATTTATAGTTTTTGGTGTGTTTTTTTATTTTTTTATTTTTTTGGATTGGGGTATTTCTTTTTTATCCTGCGTACCACTAGCGTATTAGCAAACAGTTACATGGTTAAAACATAAATACCCGCATGTTGATACCTTTCGAACACTATATTGTTATTAATCGCTATCCCGCACGATTCTTAGTCGACATAACATAAATTAAAAAATTTGGCAGGCTATTTTCTATATCTGATTTGAAACACCCTTTCATGAAAACAGTAATTGCCACACTCAACAAGCGGATGACATGCAGGATACACCATCATTTTGCCCACAGTGTATTAACAAAATATACATGAGATAACGAGTATGTTGTAAAATGTAGCCATCGTAATATATATCTGGAGATTTGTTTGTTCCTTAATAAAAGTATATTTCCTACATAATTCAATGTGAATTAACAACTCGGACCGTATAAAACAAGAAGTTTAGTTGTGATGCGTATCACAATAGAACACATTCAACATGTTTTGAGCGCTAACACATTTGTAGTTTCGGGGTGGGGGTGGGGCTACGATCTTCATACATATTTCACATTTTGCGTTAAAGGAGGGGGCTAACAACTCGAGAATGAAACGTCTGGTTCGTACCAAGATCGAACTTTAGCGTACCACAATCGAACACATTCAACATTTGTAACTTCGGGGAAGGTGTGGGGTTACAATCTTCATATATATTTCACATTTTGCGTTGAAAGTAGGGGGCTAACAACTCGAGAATTGAAGGTCTGGTGCGTACCAAGATCGAACTTTAGCTCCTGAACATGTATTTTAAGATTCATTTAAATCGAACCTCTAGAGGGTCCACAGCCTTGGTATTACACTATTTTCGTAAAGGGGAGCGTCAATTTTGACAGGAAATTCGAACTCAAGCAGAGTTGACGGTTTGAGTCCTGTCTGTCAGGTTTTGGACACACTTTCTATCAATTTAGACTCATAACTGGGGATGCTTACGGGTCTATATAGTTCTTCATGATAACTGCATCTAGGTTCGGTGTTTTTAAGTAGTGGGAGTATAATATGCTACATCACGAACATCTACGAAAACGCCATCGCGTAGGGGTGCGTTGATTATTTTTACCAGAAGTGGCAGTGATCCAATGTAGTTTTATAGGACTTCTTACTTGTTGTGCCTGTTTCTTGGTGATCGTAACAAGACTACAGCATAAAATAGTTTCACAACTTTATTGCTATGCAATAATGGCTTTGCAGGTTCCTCGTTCTCAAAAATAATGGCTGCTAGGATTACTTAATGAGTTCTGATCCAACTTGCTTCTACACCCTAATTTATACCCCCTAATGTCTACAGGTCTTCAATAACCTTGACGTTAATTTCCATCCCATAATATGGAATAAACCTCTTTATTTCCCACAACTAAGATAGGAGAAGTTACCTTATTTTGGTCAACCAACCATAGGTCAATAAACAGCCAGAATTTGATGGATAATTTGACAATGATTATGATTTAACCAAAAAATATCACTGTTTTTTTATATATAACTATATATTCATGTTCATTAAATACGTGTGATTTAACTCTATAGACAGAGTGAAGTAACAATTTTGGAAAGAACCAAAGTGTTACACCAATTCACTAGATTTTGGCTTTGTCTGAATACAAAATACCCCCACCCGCTGTGCGGTAACACATTCGACAAGATTTTTGACTTAGATTAATGTCGATAGAGTGTTTTTGGTCTGTGGTGTTTTTACCACCCCCTTATCGCCTTGTGTGGTACCACATTCCACAAGATACGGACTTGCCATCTACACCCGTACAGCAATTCTAATTAATACTCAGGCTCTACTACACTTGGTTGGTAACGAAAGTAGGATGTTACACACCATTTCATTTCTATTACACTAGAGTTGCAACGAAGACTATACAGACTAGAATACAAAAATGCATCCTTGATCAAATAACAGATTTTTGTGTAGTCAAGGTTATTTGTGGGGTTTTTTAGTATAAATTACACACTTTTCATGTGCGATGAAAACATTCTAAGGTTTCATGAAGCTATATTTTGCTTTCCATTTAGAAAATGTTATTAATTGTTTACATAATCTTAATGTGGGTGATGTTACTATGTAAAGTGTAGATCAAGAGGCCTGTACAGTTTGGTGACATCAGGACATTTTATTTTTTTGATAATAAATGAAAAGAAGTGTGGTTTAAGGTACTGCTTTTCTGCAACTGGGAAGTGTAGTGTGTCACGATTGAGTTTTTGCTCGGACAGCAGTGGTGCTGACTACTCTTTGTCGAATGCCAACTACTAAGTGGTTTCTGACGTACATGTCCACGTGTTAACGACAACGCGATTTTTCACTCCATCCACTGATGATCCAAATTGAGGTTACAAGTTCGTACGCCAGTGAGTAACGGGCCATTCAAAGTGAGCACGAAGGCGACTACTTACTGTCCATTGCAACTTTCCCAGCGAATCATCGTTCTTGCTGTAAGCCGCGATAGCCACGGACATTGACAGGTGGTCTAATGAAAATCGTTCCCTCGAACTATTCCCAAAATTCGACTACGTTCGCGTTCCTCCCGGTTAGTATAAACAACTCCATTCCAGTAGCTAAATTAATCAAATGCGATCTCCGCGTTTACCATCGCATTCGCACTTAGTGCAAACGACCCTTCAGATAGTTACCCCGACCTTACAATAAACCTACCGCACACATTACTCTTTGGGAAAGTCTAAAAACTTCCAAATACCATGCTTTGACGCGGTGTATTTGGGCCTGTGACGTCTAACAATGAGACCAGTCTGCATAATATGCATGGTAAACAAGCAAACACAGCTTAAATATCTGGCCATGTCCCTTTAAACTATAATGTCGCACAAAACAATAAATCACCCACAATGAATGTCTAAACAGAGAATATGTAGATGAGCAGATCAGATATCAGTAAAAAGGACAATAGTAAGAGAAAAATATACAGTCATTGAAAATTACCTATGCGGAACCAATGTGTTATTTTTGGTAGGCAACAAAAGTACCCGGACATCCTTCTTCAATTTTTATTATCCAATAAAACTAAAACGCGTACAGTCACCATTTAAACACAGATCTACGTCTTTTTGCATCTACCTTTTACCGGGCGAACGTGGTAGAATAACCTAAATCTCAAATTTCAAATTCTGAATCACTGAAATACAAAATGAAATGAAATGCTGTTAAACATCCTATATTTCTGCTCCGACTGGGCTAAAAGATATAGTTTACTTTAAACAGTATTTAATTCATTTGAAAAGAATTGAACAACAGGCAAAGCCTATATAAGTTCTTTCCCAGGGATACAGAAAATAATAAACGATAGATATAAACATATACATAAAAATAAGATTAAATATAACAAATTGTAAAATCGAACATATATACAGTTTCATGTGGAAAGGATATATACGAAATATAGTTGATGCAATTATTTGCTATTATACAACAATATGTATTAGAGGTGTTCGAAAGATCTGTAGAGCCATTTAAAATTAGATCTAGATTAATAGTTTCTGTGAATACCTTTAATGAATTTAATAGTTCGATTCTGATAGCTGAATAAGATGAGCAAGAGAAGAAGAAGTGGAAGTTATCTTGGTCCGAAGAATTGCATTTTGGACATATTTTTGATTCTGATAGGTAGTGGTGGAAAAGATGATTATTAAGATTACTAGATGTATTTCTTAGTTGGCAGTGAATGATATTTTCTTTACGGTTTCCATAATGGAAGTAACTAGGTTTTTATGTCTAGGATACTGACTCGGGATACTGGACTTAAAAGTATTGAGAGACGGCGATAACTGCACGTGCGCAGGAAGACTAGCTATTCCATAGTTTTATTGTGTTTGGGAAAAAACTTTTTATATACTATTCAAAAAAAGTAGGGGATATTTGATTGTTAAGTGTTATTAAAGTCACCTAATGAAACTGACGAAGAAACAAATGACAAAATGAAATGAAGTTCACATTCATCGATTTATTCCAAATGATCGTTAGACTAAGTAAGGCACAGACTGACCATTATCAGGGTAAAATGATACCCGGGGTCAAACAGCAAAGTTACCACAGCATCACAACCAAGTCAGTAACGGGTAAATCCTCCTCTGTTTGCCAAACAAGCATTGATCCGACGTGGCATACTCCTAATGAGACGTCTAAGGTCATTTTAGTCCAGATTGTCCCATTCCTGTTGCAACGCAGCAGCAAGTTCTTGGACATTGGCAGGACGTTGTTGACGTTGACGTAACCTCTGTCCAAGCATGTCCCAGACATGCTCGATGGGGGAGAGGTCGGGACTCAGTGCTGGCCAAGGTAATGTGGTGATGTTCTGTTATTGGAGGTAACCTGTAACGATCCTGGCCCTGTGACATCTTGCGTTGTCATCCTGGAAGATGAAACGGCGGCCATGACGTCGTGCGAACGGCACAACATGGACTGCCAAGATGTTGTCCCGGTAGTACTGGCCTGTAACACGCCCTGCAACAACATGTAAAGCCGTTCTTCCAGCAACAGTGATGCCTCCCCACACCATAACAGAACCACCCCCAAATCGATCATGTCTGATGACGTTAACG